CATTCATCATCTTCTCATCAAAACCCGAGGTAACCAGATTGAGAAGTCGACCATAGTTCTTGGTAAATGAGGAAGTCTTAGGAACCCTTGATACTAGCTCTATGAGTTGGAGAGGCATTCTCACGAAGCTGATTCGGATGGTATTTCTACGAGCGGAAGCCATGATTTGCAAAACAGAACAAAGATAAATTCCCTTGGTCCTTGAAATGGTTCGTGTAATGAAAAATTAATGTTATGATGCATGATGTCATGTTTAAGCAAAATAAACACACACAATCAAAACACACAAGACCTTAGGTTTAAGCTTGTATGGAGTTTATAGGTAAATACCCTCTTGAAGTTTAGTTGGTTCAAACCTGTCCTAGAAATAGTAATCGGGTTCTAAGGAGTCTAAATATCACCGATCTTTCTTTATTGAGCATTATATCAGCTTAACAATCTTTTATCGCAGATGAAACATCTCGAAAGTCCGATCTCAATGAGTGTAGAATCAATTATCAACCAATCTCCGGCTTTACACCGAGGCCGGCTATCTCACTACTTTCTAATGGCCAAGTTTGTTCAACTAAGATTCTAAGGTCTGTTAGTGCTTCCCGACACCATACGTCGGCCTCGTATTCTCCTCGATTCAACACAATGGATACTAGTACCAACGAAAGTGTCATACCAACATAGCTATCGCTTCAACCATATCAGTCTAGACCATACAGTCTCCACGATCTATTATTGTTTACCTAAAAGATGCCCCCAAATCCGGGTGTAGGATCTTTACAAGAATACCCTAACAAACCCTCAAAGGTAAAGCAAGCAAACACACAATAAATCCTTTAACAGGATAAACTAAACTCTGAGTTAACCCCAACAAGCCTAGGTTGATCCTATTATGTTTCCCCAGCAGAGTCGACAATTCTGTGATATGGTGGCAGAACCGACTGTTTAATACTGGTTTTGCGTTTGTGTTCACAAATGTTGCGGTAAGCAAGAGTCGCCACAAATTTTTCTTTTATCCAAATTAAGGAAAGGGTGAAAAGAACAGAAAAAGACCTTTTCGAGAATTTTCTGAGTAAGGGGGTAGATTATGGAAAGGGAAGGTGTTAGCACCCTTTACAACCGTAGTTTTCTACGGGCTCTTAGAGGTTTGCTCATTTTTTTAAATACCTTTGTGCTTTGTGTGTTTGAAAATATTTTGAAAATGCCTTAGTGCAGCGATTCGCTTTGTGATAACTCTTGTATCAGTCCTCAAGAGTATTGATAAAGCGAATATTTTTTAAAGTGTTTTTATGTGTAAGTGTGAAAATTTGTTTTGAGCAAGAATCTAACAGCTATCTACTTGTACTCGAAAAGGTAGTTCTTTTCCTCTTATCCTTTAGACAGTTCTATCCTACTATTAGTGAGTAGGTAGCCCTATCGTTGGATGTATGAGGGACATCGAAGGGACGATACGATCACGAAGGTAACTTGGCAAGAAATTTTAGTAACTGCCCTATAGTTTTAAGATCACTTTTAACCGAGGCAACATCGAGAGGGTCATCGAGCGACTTGTGATCTTTCAAACTAGAGAACAACCACTAAAATTTTGCACGTTTCGAGAATTGTGACCGTTTTACGAAGGCAACCAAAGTGGGATACCCTAGAGGTGCACATGTGCAATTGTGTTTGATTCATGTTATTTATCTTGCACATTTAGGATTTGCTAGCGTTTTTTTTTTCAATATTGTCATGCAATCCTAGTTACTAGCAATAAATATGAACAAAATATAAAGTGCAGAAGTATAAACCTACACTATTAACGGCTTTGGGAAGGGGATTTACAACGTACAAAAATTGGGGGAAGAAAAATAAAGAAAGCAGATAAAAGTCCTAATTAGTTATTACATGCCAGTATGTAGTTACAATAATATAAAAATGCAAAAAATGAATAACACGCAAAAGATTGAAAGTACGTCTAAAAACCCTAAGAAAATCTTTTTGCTTATTTGTTTGTTTTTTATCTAAGAAAATAATTAAGTTAATTATCCTAAAGTCTAATTAGAAGATTAATTAATTAAGAACTTATTTATTGTTTTTATTATGAAAATAAATTAAATTAAATTAAAATAAAACCTAAGTTCTAAATTATTTTAAATTTATAATAAAACAAGTTAAAGTTGAATTAATAATTAATTTCGAAAATTAGTTTAATTTAAAAAAATCTAATCCTATTTTGTAGTGGTTTTTATTATTATATTATACTAATTAAATAAAGCAAGGAAAATAAATTTTAAAAAATTAAATAAAGCAAAGTAATAAAAGAAATTATAAAATGGGCCAGGATAGTTAGAAATTTTGGGGGGGGGGGGGTGCTGAAACTGAATTTCTTAGGCCCAAACTGAAGAAAAAGCCCAACACTTTTGGATCCAGTGAGGAGAAGCTTTGAGGGAATATGCTGGACTTTGCATTGGGGCACTCAAATCTAGATCAATCATGATCTGATGGTCATGGTTTGGGGCATATGTTAGACTTGCGTAGTTAATGCACACTGGATCGGTAATTGGAAAATATTAGAAAACAAAATATTGGACATGGGATTCGAACCCAAGTCCTCTCCTTCACATGTGCGCTTCCTTGCCATCTCTGATGCCCATTCACGCGAATATATGAAGAAAAAAATAAAAACGCGCGCTTATTCAAACTTCCCAATGAGGAGTTGGCACGCTTTGTCTTCTCCCCCCCCCCCTCCGTCGTCTTAGGTATTAAGACTTATAGTGACAATTTTTGTTTGTCACTATAACACCTGTACTCGTAAAATCTAGAATATGCAACAAAAATTAAATGTGAGGTTATGAATCAATTAGCCTTGACCTCCTAAGCATGATGGTGCCCTTGGTTTGGGCTAATTTTGGCCATTACAAAAAAAATCCAATTTGGAGGTCCAAACCCTAAGCATGACAAAACGCGATACCTGCATCAAAACTCCAATCCAACTATACAAGAAGCTTGCAAACATTCATATAGTTAATAATTCATGGTCAAAACATATTTACATTACATGAATCGAGCAAAATGAATTTGGAAAAGGATGAAAACCGTGTGAGCTTGCTAAGGCGTTTAGTGATGCTTCAGGACACGGTAATGAGTGGAATAACTTCAAGGGACCTCCAGGAATGTATTTGGATCTTTTATTTGGATTGAGGAAGGTTGGAACTGTGTTTTTTAAATTTTGCAATTTGGTGTGCTTTCTTCAGGCTGTATATCCGTCTCTAATGCTTGCTAATGTGTTCTTTATATAGAGAGGAGGGAGGGGACAAGAAGGAAATGGTTTAAACAACCTTGATCATGTTCTTTAAGAGCCATAAACAAAATATTGTAACTTTGCCAAAGGTGTGGAATTTTACCCTTTTTTTCAAATTTGCAATGTACCTGGACATTTTGCATGAATTCTTAGGCTTTAAAGCAAGCCAAAACACCAGCCCAAATGCCAAGCCCCACCCCTAATTATTTTATACATTTTATTCCATATTTATTTGAAATAAATATGTACAAAATAAGTAAAAAATGCAAGGCATGGTAAAAATGAGATTACGGGTTCTTCATGAGGTCATGAAAGTGTTTAAATTCCAAAAAGTTATGTCATTGCCTTAAAAGTTCAAATTTGCTCAATGCACATTTCTTGAAATTTCCCAAAATTTCTCAACTTAGACAAACCATAACTTACTCAATTTTCATCTCATGATCATGATCTTTGACTTTTTGGAAATTCCAAGATGTCTAATTCAATCCTTCTTTTGATGAATTTTGCATTTGAAGATATTATCTTGATGTAAAAGGTCTTGGCTAAAAGTGGTTTTTGTTGACTTTCTAAAAATGATCTGTAATGTCTGAGCTTCTATATTTCAAATGGTGCATTTCTTAGACTTGTCGGATGAAGAGAAGTTGTAGGGAATTGGATTCTATTCAAAATTAGCTTTGGTTGGGGAAAATGGATGAAGTATGTGAAAGTTATGCTTGATCAAATTTGGTTGACTTTTCCTATAGAAACCTAATTAGCAATTCTTGATTTTTGATGAATTAGGAGCATTTCTTGAGGAATCATGATCAAACCTTGATCAAATGATGGATATTACTTAAAAATGTTGAGGTTGATCAAAAACATTGAAATTTTACTATATATAGGCCATAGTTGACTTTTGACCTAGTATAGTTGATTCTCAAGCATTTGAGCAATTGTCTAAGCAAACTTGTTATGCAAGGCATGAAACTTGACATGGACAAACTTGAAGGCATATTAGGACCATGGAAAACATTTGAGACCTTTGAAGCTCAAACATCTTGATGAAAATTGAAACCCTAATTAGAGGTTCATTACCTTAGGAGGAGAATTTGTCTGGTCAATTCTTAGTCATCCTTGAGCAATTTGGAGACCTCAATGGGCATGATTTGAGTAAAATGAGAGGGCAAATTTTGGATTACAACACTTTGTAATTACGAAATCAGAAATAAAACTGACAACTCCACAATTTGCCCCATTGAAAATTGTGAACGGGAGTATGAGGTACATAAGTAGATCTAATCATTCATCTTTTCAAGATTCTGAATCAAGCGACGGTAACCTTTAGTTCTAAATCATGTCTATAACAAATAAATATTGATGTTCTAATTTCATATAATTAATTCATGAAAATTTTCCTTACATTTGAGGGATGCAATCAATTAGTCATTTATTCGTAGTGTTTATTTCAGCGAATTCACTAGAGGATTGAAGTTCTAAAGCAACTAGGACTCTAGTAGTTAAATAGCTTGGATTTTGATTGGTTCTTCTTTTTAGATACTCAATCATTGAAGTCATTAAGCACTTTTTTCTTATTAATCAACTTGTCTAGAATCACAAAGAACGACAATCATTCAAATCATTATTCTTAATCAAAACTTGCAAACATCAAAACTACCCCATATTTATACTAGATATTTCGTTATCCCCCCTACATGTTTTATGCTATAGATTTGGCTTCAACCCATTGTCATCATTCTGAAACTGAATTTTTGGAGTTGTTTGTCAAACTCCTCGTCTCCTCCTTTGTTCCATTAATGCTATTAATTTGTCCACCACCCCCTTTACTGAGGTCCGATCTTCTCGATCCACCACGAGTTGTTCTATTTCCAAACATAAAACAATTCGTTTAGTAATTATGTTAGTTTTCAGAGTTTAAATTCTGAAAGATCGGTTAATATGTTATAGTTTCATGCAATTTATGGAACTATAGCAGTATAGCTATTCATATTCAATATTTTTTTAATGAAAAAAATATATATAAAAAAGAAAATTAGATGAAATTCAAGCATACTAGTTCAAATAAATGATAAGGTAGAGAAGAGAGGAAATAAAAGTAAAAAGAAGAAGTGATTAGTTACTTGAAAGAGAATCTAACTACGCTTAACATGGAATTCTGAACTTGAACTGCTCTTGTTTGTGTAAAATTTCTCAATAGACGAAACATGATTGATGAGATAGCTAGTGAGTTTGAATATTTGCTGCATTGTGAATAAGAAAGAAAGTGATATTTAAAGAGCATAGGTGAGGTTTAATGTTGACTAAATAATGCTAGTTGTTAATCAATTATTATTATTTTTTATGAGTAAAAGTAAAATGACATTCATTCATTTAAATTGTTAATCAATAACATGTTTGGTCTAGTTAGCTTATTTTTATATTACAGTTAAATTTAACCATGATTTGAATAATTCCACATGATCGTGTTCACATTATATCTCATCACCTTGACTGAAAAATATAGTATGAGTTTAGACTTGTTATTCTATAATCAAGAACGAACAGTTAGTTGTAGTCTGACTTCAGAAAGTCATGGACTTAAGTCATAAAAGTCCAAAAAATATACTATATAATATGTAGTAGTCTCTAGAAATATAAATGATAATCAACAACATGTGTGAAATTAACAATGTGAACATGCATGTTGGTAACTACATTACAAACACTAGTAAAACTCTAAATATTAGTTCCCATGTATAAAATAATATTATGAAGGACGACTTGAGTAGTTGAATTAGACCATTCAAGTTATACATTAACATAATGAAAATGTACATTAAATTGGGTTTACTTTGAAAACTAATAATTATATTGTGATATTTTTAAATAAATTAGATTAATAAACATATCTTGATATATTAATAAAAAAAATTTATATATGTGGCTCTCCTGACTTATATATAAATAGGATATTATTTTTATTTTATTTTTAATAATTACTAAAGTAAGTATTTGTTTTTTTTTTTGGAATGAGTTAAGTTTGAATTAGAAAAAGAGTGGTCGGTAATGGGCTGCGGCCATATAAAAAAAAAGTGGTTGAGCAATAATTATGTGGAAGGTGTATGAGTATTCATGTAATGAGTTGGGAAATATCATCATTTTGATGGTATGGTTCGTATTTTTTTATGGGACATGAGAGTTTGAAAGTCACATTGTAGGTATTGTAAAACCATCTACAGTATACTCTAATAACCTCAACGCGAATGGGACGTTTGTTTCGGATGCAAGATTGCTATAGACAATCATCACAACATCTATCTTCATAGTGAAGAATATACCTCTTAGGTTTCTTCTTGTTTTCTCTCAGACATTGAAAGATGTTCTTTATAAGGTGGTTGCTGAAATGAGATTTGTAGGTGTTTTGGTTTGGTTGTTACTTCTCCCTCAGTTCACTTTACATGTGGTCAAACCTAAGAATAGGTGAGGATCATATATTCAGAAATCAGAAGTCCTTGCAACAACAACACATGTTATAGTGCTTAGCTACTTGAAGAGATACAAATGATTTTGCCAAGTTAGTTGATATTGTGTTGGGAAGCTCTGAGAAAGACAACTTGGGTCATGAGGGGTTCATATTGAGAAGAAAGATAAAAAGATGAGCTCTACTATCAAGTCATGCCTCTGCAAGCTTGCATATGACCCCTTCACAGAGGCTGGGAAAATGTTGGGGTCATACAAATTGGTTCCATATAATGGACATACAATGAAAGTTTTTGGATAAGCACCCGTACAGACCAACTCCCTCCATGCGAACGTCTTATTCTCTGAAGCTTCTATAGTGATTGAATTCGATAATATCTTAAGGTGCATTAAATCATTTCCCAAAGGGACGTCACATGGTAGAGATGGTTGGCTAGCATAATATATATTAAATGCATTATGTTGAGAAGGTTCAACTATGACAAGATATCTATTATGTGCAATCACTCTAGTTGTTAACTTATGGCTGAGAGAAAAATGTCTAATGAGTTTGGGAAAGTTTATTGTCTCTTCATCCTTGACGTTGTTATTAAATTCTGATGGTGGGATACGACCAATTGGTGTGGCTCATATTTAAATGTGGTTGGTATCCAAAGTTGCTATGAAAGAGGTTAGTAAATGTGTGAAATGATATCTCAATGACTCCTAGTTTGGGATCGGGGTATCAGGTCGTGCTGAGCCTTTTTGCATAATACCAACAGGGTATTAAATAAGGAACATGAATATGGTTTTTTGTCTATACTCACTGTATATTTCTCGAATACTTTTGAAATGGTAGATCAGTTAACTCTTCTGCGCGAGGTGAGCGTGATACATCCATATGTTTCATTGTGGATTGAGTTTCTTTATGGTCAGACAACGATGTTGTACCTTGGGGATAAACATATTATGTTAACAACTAGAGTGCAACAAGGTGACCCGTTACATCCTCTCCTTTTTGCTCTTGTGTTACATCCACTCATTCACCATATTAAAGACTATTATAAGCTTATTCTTCTTGCCTAGTATCTTGATGACAGAACTACCATAGGGAATTCAAAGAAGGTGGCTAAAGCCCTTGATATTATCAGATAGAGAGGTCTAAGATTAGGCCTCAAATTGAATATTTATAAGAGTGAAATCTTTTGGTCTTAGTGTGATGATAGTAAACATCGTGGATGGGAGTTGTTTCCTTAGAGAATTAGGAGATGGATTTTGGAGATGAAGTTACTTGGAAGAGCTATTAGTTAAGATTAAGACTTAACCAAAGGGTTGTCCATTAAGAGAGATGTTATGACTTTTGATTTAATGCATCTTCTACCACAATCAAGAGGTCCTCATAATGAGCTTATTCTACTACAATCTTGTGTGAATATCACCAAACTATTTTTTGACCTAAGAATGTGTAAACCTTATCATATGGAGGAAGCACCTATTTGGTTTCATAAAGAGTTGCAAAGGGAAATATAAGACATCGTGGTTGGTGGAGGTCATTTCTTCTGTGACTTTCAATAGAGGTGTTGGTTGGAATTTCAACGGTATATAATATGGGAGAAATAAGAGGATATCGAAGAAGGTTTAAGGAAATATGAAGGTTGTTACCTATGGTTTTTGAATGGCTGACCAAATAAGGGTTGAGAATTAACGAAGTCTTATTATTATGAAATATATAAGACTTGACGATATTTCAAGTTTCGAATTCAAATAATTTGACAGATCATGTTGTAGTGTTTGGCATTTTGAATCGAAGACAATTTGAATTCAAATGCTTTATTCTTATCCAGAAGGACGAGTTGAGGTCTGGGGTTTCAAGGAAGCATGTAACATCGAACATGGAAATTCTATAGTGAAAGACCGTTATGGTCGAAGTAGTATAAATTAGGATCTTAATGTTAGGTTTTAGTGTGTTCCCTTTTGTACAAAATAATCATAAAACTCAAAGTACCAGTGTTTAGAGAAAAAAGTTAATTGAGAATGTACGTATGAATAACCACATTTTACTTAATTGTTAATTTATTTTTACCAGAATCCTTCGTATCCCTTTCACTTTTAAGTAGAAGTCTTTTTACTTTCCTATAGTTACTTTACATAGAATTCATGTCCTATACACTTTAACTACAATCTTTGAAAAGATGAACATTTAAAATATATAAACCTAACGAAATATAACACATGTCCTAGGATCAATCCAGTCAATCTTGTAAGTTACCAGAATTTGTAGAAATTGGAAGACTAGCGGTTGTTTACAAATTTTCACAGTAAACAAATTGGCACACCCGGTGGGACAGTTTCGTGTTCGTGTCACAAACTATGTATTTTGTGTTTATTTTAGTCTATCTTGTTTGACATTGTTGTATCATATTAAGGAGTGTAAAATTAGCCAAAAATAATAGACAAATTCCAAAAATAAAATATATTAGGTAGATGGTTAACCCACCCAATAATAATGGAGAACAACCACCCCCTTCGACATGGGAAAGTACAATAACATTGTCTGCAACCGAGTCGATACTTGTTCAAGTAAATACAATGGGAACATCGACGAACACTTTCAGAGGTGCAATCTTGTCCCTAGTGCAGTCACAGGGTTCCCCAGTGAACACAAGGCCACCAAGGACGAATAATTTTAGGCACTTTGCATCTGGATTCATAATGCCAATGGATGGCTGCGAATAAACATATGGCATGCCAACATCAATAATGGAAAGCCTCAACAATAGTACTTCAACATTTCCTAATCCAATATTGTCAACATTCTCACCAGTATAATGATCAGGATCAGGAGTCAATAATATAGGCCAAAATGTCCATCCCCAAGGATTCGTTTCACAGTTGCCTAACTTAATAACAAATTCTATAGCGGAATTTCGAAAATAAATGGATGACAGCAACCACAAAATGGTTGGTGTCTTATCCCAACAAATGGGCACTATCTTTAATCCTTTGATTCAAAGTGCTATTGAAACAAATAAACAGAATGCAAGGACGATCAATAACTAGTAGTGCAGATGGCGCAAATTGCATACATCTTTTGCGTCCTCGACCCCAAGTTCAATAACTTAGGCGAGAATGGATAAACAAAAACCAAGGAATGTTTCTCGAATAAAATCAAACTGTCAACCAGGAATTACCAATTGCACAAAACATTGGCGATGTTAACCAGCAGTGAAGGATTGAAAAACCCATGGTCGAATAAGTGATACCAAAGGAAGAACCATCCCCAAGGAAAGTCATGGTGAATTAAAATCAGGATGCAAATGAATTTCTTCAACAGGTTCGACAAGACGAATACCTAGAGGAGAATAACCTGGAAGCCATGGTCGAAAGAATAATGGTTCGAAATGGAGTAAATGTATGCCTTCGAAGGCCAAACTATATGCCCCTTTGTCTGAATACGTTTTACTGGCATAATTACCCAGGGGATGGAAAGTCTCAAAGTTCACAAAGTTCTCTGGTGATACCAGTGAACCTACTGTTGAATACATAGCCAGGTATCTGATCGAGGCTGGGGATATAGCTGTAACACAGTGGGAGAATTGACTTTTTTCGTTTTATCCAAATGTGCATATAGCAAGAGTCGCCACCGACTTTTCTTTTATCCAATATTTAGGAAAGGTGAAAAGAACAGGAAAGACCTTGGATAGATTTTGAGTTTGGGGGGTACGTTATAAAAAGGGAAGGTGTTAGCACCCTTTTCATCCGTAGTTA